GGGCGCGACGGCTGGTCATGGCAGCAGCACCTGAGAGCTCTATGTGAAGATGGGGATAGGACATCAATGGCTGGTTTTCTTCATCGGTGTCCTACTTTCTCTGGTGTTGATGCAGAAGCTCTACTTGGAGTACCAGAAGCCGTTCCCAGCCACCCTCGAGACGGATGGAAGTTGCTAAAGGGGGCCCCGTGGTCTAGGGCGAAGCGCAAGCAGATGTATCAAAGTGATGGTTGGGTTGTGCATCTGTTTGCGGGCGACGAGAAGACGTCTGACTCGAAGGCCCAATCAATTATGAGGAAGTCCTTTTGGCAACAATCCCTTTCGGGATCCGAGGTGCTGGTCGAGGTGGATGTTACAGCAACCAGGGCAATGGACCTGACAAGGCAGGACGGCATCTTCAAGATCATTGCATGGGCTGCCATCACTGGCCGCATCAAGGCTATTATAGGAGGCCCACCAAGGCAGGCCATCCCCACGCCATCTCAAGGAGCCCGGTGTCAGGATCAGTATCACAAGGAAATGCAGCTTGTGGTGCGGATGATGGCGTTGTGGTACATGGCCGAAGAGGGCAGATGCAAGAGATGGAGACAGGGTCAGTTACAGACCCCGGCGGTGAAGCCACACGTGGCGTTCTTGCTGGAGCACCCGGAGGCTAAGTGCCGAGAACATGTTTCCCTTTTTCAGACTTCTTTGTGGAAGATGTTCGCCTTGGATGCCTTGATGGGAGAAGTTCAGCTGGAAGTTAACGGACGTCCTACAGTGCTCGGAGGCAACCTTGATCTTTGGCACCTTCAGGGTGGTAATTTGGGGGCCTTTGGAGCTCAACGTTGGCCTCTGGAGCTGGTGGCGCATTTGGCGCGGTCCTTGAGGGCATGGATGGGACTTAGAAATCGTGAGGGCGTTTTGGCCTCCCTTACGAGAAGGTCCTGGATGGATATCAATGAAGAGGCCCACCTGGGGAAGTTCGACGTGAAGGACTGGCAGCTTCACCTTCAGCGGGACCACTTGCCGTATAGGCGGGATTGCAGAACATGTCTGGAACGGTCAAGTGGCCGTCCTCACCGTCGCGTGCGCCACCCTGCCGCGTACACCCTTTCGATTGACACAGCAGGACCCTTTCGTACTAAGGGAGTTGGTGGTTACAAATTCCTCAT